TAAAAGTGCTACGGAGACCTCCCGACGATTTCCGGGTGGTCGAAACTTGCTTGAAGGGGTGATTTGTCACATAAGGCGCGCTGACTCAGCCCCGGCAAGAGCCGCCGTGGCCTAGTGGTAAGTGTCTCGCTCTCTAGGCGGCAGCATGCGGGTTTGCTTCCCACGAACGACAAAGTTTTTGCTCTTTCTCCAATGGAACCTTTTGTTTCAAATTTCGATATTTCTCTGAAATCCGGTGAATTTCAACTATCCTCCAAGTTTGCTGTGCCCAATAAAGATGAAATGACTGCGGTTGTACAACAGCTTATAGTCCCGAAACTTCATTCAACATTGATGGAATCGCACAATAAAATGTGTGAAGCAAATATGCCGTTCACAAAACGCGCATCTTATTGATGCAGCTTCTCCGCAATCATTGACAAAACATTCAATTGTTTTCAAATCAAACATATAGTCACCAGGGGTGGCGAACGTACCGGGATGACTATCAGTATAGCCTGCCTTATACCATGAGTACTTCAAAAAGTTTGAGAACCTAGGAGCGCAGAACATCCGATAGATTTGTGATAAAACCTTCAATATATTGTCCCTGTTGGTCATATTGAAGTCAACATTGTTAATGACAGCACAGGTTCTGATCCGCTTCATAACATTTTTCATTGGTCCGAAAGAAGAAAACGTCCAGTGGTTGGATGAGTGACGTTGCGCCAGCTGGAATGTTGTGAACTGCGACTCTACAGCCTGTAATATTACACTCATCGAGAGCTGAACCAAATCTATTCAAGAGTGTAGTAACAGGATGTGCTGCACACCTTCGGGTACGGCTTTCCTGATGGTATCGACGTCGCGAAAAGACGACCATGAGTCCACAATTAGGTGTGTTGTTTCTTGAACACTGCTGCTATTGAATAGACAACTTTTTATCCAATCTACCATCAGCTCCTTCGTCATTATATGAGACGTGGCCGCCCTGACCACAAGATTTGGAGCTTCAAAGTGCCCGTGGCGCGGAAATTCTCCGCCTCTTTCTTGCAAAACCACGTACAGCTTTTCTCCTAGTCTACCATCGGCATAAAGTATGGGAAGAATGGTGTATGAGTGAGTCATCGCCGTCCTGCTTTCGACAGTTCTTTCAACCTAAAAAACCATTTCAGCCACTTTTGCTCGATCCGGCCACCTAAAAACTCACTCTTTTCACTCCCACTGGCGCTAAAGATCTTCCCGTTGTCAATTCCTTAACGAAACCTGATTGGTCGCCATTGCAAAAACAACCCAGTGGCGCAGCTTCCATTTCCCTCCTCACGATGCTCACAAACTCCTGCGCCTTGCGCTGTATTTCTTCACGGCTTCTATAGTTCCTTTTAGTGACAAATGTCGTTATTTTCCTTGATACAATCCCATAACGGCGTTTGAAGGCCGTAATCCAGGACTGACTGGCCTTGAAGTTCTCAATATTGTTTTGCCGGCACAGGTTGAGCGCCATGAAGCGCAGGTTTTCGTCGTGCAATGTGATTCCTCAAAATTGCGGACATGTCGGAAGGAACATGGTTTCAAAACAGCCAACTAGTAAAAACTATCTACCTGCTGCCAGTTTCCCTTTCACTTCGTCGTGGAGCAGCTCCGCTATTCTTCTCAACTGCATAGATCGACTACATCGTGCTGCGATGGCATCTTCCCTCTCGTGCTCAATTTTGCGCAGCTTCCTCAAGTGTTCATCATCTTTGATCCATCGAAACCTCCGGTTCATACTCGACAGCGGGCGATGACCTTTTGAGCAGCTTCTGTAGTGCTCGATGGCCTTGGTGACCTAACCACAAAAGTGTCGTCTAATATATGTACTAACAGTGATCAAATTCAAAAATGCCTACATACTTGATTCTCCAGTGACAGCCGAATTGCCAAAGAAAACCACATTTTCCTTCCCACAATCAGTTGTGCTGGAGCTGCCTTCATTCCCATCATCACAGCAATCCCAATCTGATTCGACGGAAACGTCTGATTCCAAGCTCTCATCTGTGTCGACTTCAACTTCAGCAGCAACAGCGTCCCGAAGTACAGCGGCAACCTTGCAGCGAGTTTCTTCTCTTCCCGTGTTGCCAAACTGTTTTCTCCAGGCGTTCCGAATTCTTCAGTAAGTAGAGCGACTACCCTTGCAGGAGAGAAGGACATGGTTAATGAATACAAATCGATAACGCAGCAGTGATTCGACTTGGTTTGCCACGTCAGACATTTGATCTACATGATCTGTTTCGCCACCTTCTCGAAGAAGTATCGAAATTTGAAACAAAAGGTTCCATTGGAGAAAGAGCAAAAACTTTGTCGTTCGTGGGAAGCAAACCCGCATGCTGCCGCCAGAGAGCGAGACACTTACCACTAGGCCACGGCGGCTGTTGCCGGGGCTGAGTCAGCGCGCCTTATGTGACAAATCACCCCTTCAAGCAAGTTTCGACCACCCGGAAATCGTCGGGGAGGTCTCCGTAGCACTTTTAATCTGCATATTCGTAATCAGCATTCGAGACTCTATCGATGTACCTAGGTCTCCATTCAAAGTTCCATGGGAAGTTCAAACCATTCCCTTGTAAGCGTTCTTAAATGTGAAGAAATACGTTACGGCTTTCTTAAAGGTTTGTCAAGAACTGGTCAGACCTACCCTCTACTGATAGTGTTTAGCGATTGTTTTCAAAGGTTCCCTTTGCGCGAGACATTTGCTGGGCTTTAAGCATGTTGAAATGTTGTTGCTACTCAATGTTATGCCTGAATGTTGTGAATCAGTGACGGTGTCTTGGATTTTACCTTCAAGGCAGTAGGAGAAATGACAGGGCCAAAATGATTGCTAGCGAGCCTGGACAACGAATTGGTCTTGAAGTATGAGCACCTGAACAAAGCATACCACAGGGTGAAAAAGACGCACAGTGTTTCCCGGGAAATTGAGTGGATCTGCAGCAACCACATCTAATAAAACAGATCATAAAAGGAAAGAGACGAAACTCTTAGTTTTATGTCGTGATCCAATGATACCGTTTTGAATACAAACTTATGGAAATACACTATATCGAAGAGACATGCGAGACAGCGTCGAATGTGAACGTTATAAGACGTATCTACAAAAGGGAAATAAGCGAATACGTCGTTGAAGTAGCTGTCCATTCAATTTCAGCAGGGAGCGTCATCGGCTCTCACGCGCATATGGTGCGATCGTTCTTACGGTCGATAGGAGCAATTGCGTCGTGTGCGCGACGGAAACGCTGCTGTCGTGAAGTCTGCCCTACTGCATCAACCTGGTTGTTGGTGGCTGTTTGCAATGATTGTTTACTAGGGAGGGCAAGTTGTTTTTCTAAATATCTATTATGCGGTCTGCTTCAATCATACAGGGGGACGCAAAAAAAGACACTTCGGCCGAGCCACATATAAGCAAAGTTTTTGCAGACCACACTGGACGTAGATAAGAGTTCCAGGGCGGAAACCGTTCCTCGATAAGCAGGAGCAGGCTCGCCCATCACCTTCATGTACACCAAAATATGAAGTCATCTCCAATCGCAGCCTGACTGGAGAAGGCCTTTGGAATTCACGTCACCTCCAAACAGCTGCGAAACTCCTTGCGAAACCGCATTTGTACTGATGGAGAGCACATTGAGAGTGACTGGAATAGTATTTGGAGAATGCTGACTCAAAAAGGTGATAAGGGAATCGCAGTAATTTTTGGGTCCTCCCTAGTAGATTGCATTCACGGTTCCTCGAACTGAAACGGTTTGGGAACGGTACAGTAACGGTGAGTGATGGAGGTCATTGTTGGCATGTATTAGGTTGGCGGGAAAGTTCTGTCACATTTTTCAAATTAGGCTTTCTTTTTATAGAGAGGCGTGTAAGATCAAAATTGTACAGCAATGTTACTGCGGGGTCCTTGCCAGTTTTGAGCACCTCATGGATGCCATCGCTTCACAATGCAGGGAGGCGCGACGCAAAGTTGGACATCATCTCAATCTTGACTTGAACTCGGGTTATGGAGGTTTTCTCGTCCACATAACGATTGAGTACGGGAGGCAACTTGCAGTTAGAAGGAGCAATGTCTGTGCTACACCAGTGCAAGGGGAGAGCCATCCAGCTCTATTGCATGAGGTACGGCTCGGACGGAGTGGGCACTATCATGATGAGGGCGGGCTGTGCGGACAAATTTTTACCCTCTGATCGACGGTACGCTTTAGACGGTAGCTCGTAGCTGCTTTGCGTACGCATTGAGCGAGAAAAAGCTTCTTCATCAAGACGACCCCCAGCTCCCTCAATCTGAGTTCACAGGTAACCCAAACCTCACTTCGTCATCAAAACTGTAGGCTTGAAGCATTAGCGTCGTGGAAGGTTGTCCGATAATTGAGGGCATCGTCCTTATTCAGCTCCATTATTTTGGCATCTGCAGCTATCATGCTGGCGTCAGGGTGGTGGAAGAAAGAGTTTGAGGAAGCGCTTGGAGGGGTCGGTGCCGATGGTAGCGGATAAAATCCTTG